AACCCTGGCTGAGCAGGTACTAATAAAGTACCTGGTACCAGTTTCTATGGCCTCATGGAAAACCCTGAATAGCATGGTGAACCGTGCTGAGTTGATCGGAGTAGGTACTAATGGAAAAGAGGCTATAAAATACCTTCCACTAGGAGGCAGATTTAACTATAAACTGCCCCCTAGTGGAAGGTAAAAACATCTGGGAAGCAGCATAAAATTGCTAAAGTTCAAAAGTAGCAATCTGACAGAATTTGAAAAGGCACAGAACGCATTTGATGTGTATGTAAGCAACAGAATGTCAGTGTGTTTAAGACAATTTGAAAAGGGTATATCAAATGCTGATTTCACATAACATGTTTTTTAAAAGTTTATCTAAATGTAAACTGCTGGACTAATTCCACATCTATCAGAAAACTGTTCTGTTAAGAGAGCCACACTCAGGTCATCAGTGGTAAGGTTGTGAACCTTGACACTCCCCTATCATAAAAACCAGCTTCAGGAGGATTACCGTATGCATTTAATCTAAAGATTTTACTTCTTTACATGCCAAGACTCTCTAGCAAAATACACATCAAAACAGCACTGTTGTCTCACCTATGTGCCCCTAAGTTTACACAGCTGATTCCCAAGTTATAGCGACTGCGTATGAAGCCAGGCTGCAGTTCCAGTGCTCTCCTGTAGGCGGCCACAGCCTCTTCTGAGCGGCTTCCGTTGGCTAGCGTGGCACCCAGCTTATTCCACAGCAGATAGTCCTTATGGGGACAGAAAAACAAAGAAAGAGCTCAGAAACTGAGCACATGACATGAAGCCATTGGAATTTCTACAAAGGCTTCTTCACCAACCTGTGGAGTGACGGAGAGAGCAGCGCTGAAACAGTCCACCGCCTTGTCATACTCTCCACTGAGGTTGAAGAGGACGCCGAGACCACACTGAAGCTGAGGGTCCACCTGGGTAGGGTCAACATTGGCTGCTTGCAGGTACATGGACTGGACGTCGGTAAACAAAGACCTGCACAAGGGAAAAGCAATAAGGAAAGGGCAAAGAGAAAGAGGTATCTTTGTATTCTCCTAAACGTGCGTGATGCTCACTCTGGCAGCAATGACCCGAACCTCTCTCTGTCCTTCTCCCTTTCTTTGGAGCTGTCTTTGGAGCGTTCGCGCTCACTCTGCTCCCAAACAGAGTGGTATTTTGGATTGTGCTTTAGCCAGTCACGT